GCTCCTAGAGCAACCGGCAAGCAGCCCCAGGCTTCTGCCTTTGTCCTTCTGAGTTAGGACATGTGCGTTAGGAGGTGTGGACTGCAGCCGCTGCCTGAGTGAGGCCTTCCCTTGACTCTAAGCACCACAGGAGCTGAGGAGCTCCTGTTCGTACCATGACAAGGCATGTTTTGAAAACACCAGTGGTCATAATCTCTCTTTTTACCCCAATACCATGGGACTATCTACACAGACTTCCTGGCCAAGAAATGAAACACAAGTGTGCGATGTATTTTTCATTGATTCCAGACACAAAGGAACCAAGAAGGAAACAGGTGAGAAGGGTCTTTTGCGTGTGATCTAAGGCACACACTTGACTCAAATCCTGGAAACAATTGCTCCATGCCAAGATAACACATTTGCTGAAAGTTATAACCAATGGTATTTTCACCTGCTTCATACTAACATTAATTAAAATTCTGGCTAACGGATTATTCTGATGTGAAAGAGAAACTCACTTTTTTAAAGGACTATAGGCCAGATCAGCTTAAAGTTCAGTTCACTTCCTTTACGCAACTACTTAGTACAGTAGTGCTCTACTGAAATATATGATTCAGATCACATACAGTGGTACCTCGGGTTAAGTACTTAATTCGTCCCAGAGGTCCGTTCTTAACCTGAAACTGTTCTTAACCTGAAGCACCACTTTAGCTAATGGAGCCTTCAGCTGCCACCACGCCACCAGAGCACGATTTCTGTTCTCATCCTGAAGCAAAGTTCTTAACCCAAGGTAATCTTTCTGGGTTAGCGGAGTCTGTAACCTGAAGCGTCTGTAACCTGAAGCGTATGTAACCCGAGGTACCACTGTATTACAAATCATTATAGCTCTTAAGGCAAGCTGTCATCCCAAAGGTGAGGTAACAAGTCAGTAAGAATGTGATGTGCGTGTATTGGAATACTACTTCTCAACCCCAACTGAAATAGTCTTTTGCTTATTAAATGCAAGAATTAATGACAATTTACTGTGACGTCCACCAAGCTCCAGCGGTTTTAATCAAGTATTTTGATGTTATATTTCTGATCTCCATCTGCCTTCAGACATATGTTTCCATGACAGAGGACAACAACATGATGTCTCATTCAGGGCCATGCACAACTTGGCATTACAGGAAACAGTATAAAGAAAACCGATCAATATAAAAGCCCTCTGTAAATGTACTTTGTTTTAAATGCAAGAAACATTAACCACCCACTTCCTGTACTAGTCAGTTAATTTTTCTTTCCTTTTTTTACAGCTTCTGCGGGATTACTCAGATGCTGCCAAAAGGTTGTGCATCAAGCCAAAGGTTCAGTTAGTGGCAAAATAAATTCCACTTTTTATTTTCAGAAATATTTGGAATCCGAAGCATAGTGGCACATTCTTAAAGGCCTTAAAATAGTCTAAAATCTGTTTTTTTAGAATAGGATTCACAGCTAAAACCTGCATTTATAAAGTTGTGCCCCTAACATATTTATTTGGAAATAAGCTCGAATAATATTTCTGGGTAAAAGCTGTATTGATCAGTGTGTTAATGATTTCTCCCTTCTAACAGTATTTCTGTAATTCAAGAAAAATGCAAGCAAAACTGCTGATATAATATCTTGCAAGACACTAAAAATGTAACAAGACTACGGGCTTGTGAAGTCTTTTTTTAAGGCGAAGTAAACGGCAGAAGTTGAAGAGCACTTACTGAAACATATCAGTGCCAAAACAGAGGTCTTTGGAAATTCCAGGCATCTGGTTGCCTAGAAATTTAAAATATTTATTCTTTAACAGCTATGTAGTCTACTTTTCAATACTCTTCACACAGAAGCTTGCAATCGCTTATAAAATACAACCTATAAAATAGAATATAAACTATTTAAAATACCCACTTCACAACAATCCTAAAGGTAAAGGTAAAGGGACCCCTGACCATTAGGTCCTGTCGCAGACGACACTGGGGTTGCAGTGCTCACTTTACTGGCTGAGGGAGCTGGCATACAGCTTCTGGGTCATGTGGCCAGCATGACTAAGCTGCTTCTGGCAAACAAGAGCAGTGCATGGAAACGCCGTTTACCTTCCCGCTGGAGTGGTACCTATTTATCTACTTGCACTTTGACGCGCTTTCAAACTGCTAGGTTGGCAGGAGCAGGGACCGAGCAACGGGAGCTCACCCCGTCGCGGGGATTCGAACCACTGAGCTTCCAATCAGCAAGCCCTAGGTTCTGTGGTTTAGACCACAGCCCCACCCGCGTCCCGCCAGACAACAATCCTAGACCAGCACAAAAGCAACAAATAAAACTAACAAATCCCCAATATGCAGATATCAGTCCAGAACATCATTTTGCATTAGGCACTGAAGAGAGAGGTGGACTGAATCTGAAGGGATGCAGTGTGCCTGATGATATCACATGGAACTGAATCTCACAACTGCAGTGCCACCACCAAAAAGGCTCTGTTCCAAGTAATCGCCTGCCTTGTGCAGGCCTGGCTGCTACAAACTTGATGCAGGCTTGTAGACCTGTAGGAATCTGAATCAATTTTCCATATATCATAAAATGTTAAATTTTAGGCCCTGTTTATGTAGTTTTCAAAACCACCATGATGACTTGGTCTGTAATTCAGACACAAGAATGACAAAAACTTAAATAAGTTGCATAAACAGAACACAGCTACAACTTCACCTGCCTAGATAAACTGCAAACTATTAATTATAAATTTTGCTTAGGGCATTAGTATCCCAATGCAAAAAAATATATATGTAAAAATCTGAAGAATCCCAGGTAAAATATATTTCTGGGTTTTTGATCATTGTCTCCCTAAGAGACTAAATGACTACAGTGGTACCTCGGGTTAAGAACTTAATTCGTTCTGGAGGTACATTCTTAACCTGAAACTGTTCTTAACCTGAAACACCACTTTAGCTAATGGCGCCTCCCACTGCCGCCGAGCGATTTCTGTTCTCATCCTGAAGCAAAGTTCTTAAACCGAGGTACTATTTCTGGGTTAGTGGAGTCTGTAATCTAAAGCTTCTGTAACCCAAGGTACCACTGTACTGGGGAATAAACCAACTATGGTTGGTGTTTTTAATGTGACATGTATTTTCCCTCCTGACTGATATGCAGTCTTGTTAATTTTTTCCATCATGCTGGAAATACATTGATGCTGGATTGTTTTGTATGAGGCAGTCCACCTCAGGTGGCGAAAGTGCAAGAGGCGGCTCCACCTGCCCCACCAGAATGCTTCCTTTTTCTGAGTATTGGCAAGAGGTGGGCATTCTAGTGCATGGCACTGCTGCTGGACAAACATTAAAGCCTTATGGAACGCCCTATCTCTCGCTGTGTTTGGCAAGAGGAAGGCTTTCCATGGAACAGCAGAAGTGGTGTTGGGGCAGTCAAGTGCTGGCTGGGGGGTCAAGTGCAGCACAAGTTAATTGTCGATGTGCTCACAGCCCAAGTAATCCTGTATATATGAATATAAGTACTCAAAACAGGGAAGTCAGGCATTCATGGAACTGCCTTTTCAAAGGCTGCATCTTGGTCTGAGTCTTGCACATGCTTCATTTTGTACCCTGGAAGATCCCTCTAGTATTCAGAGAATACTTACAGTGACATCACTGTGGTTCACACAGTTATGTTAAGTTTGGCATGTCCATAAATCTCTGCAAGATCAGGAGGCTTATGTTCTTCGGGTATAATTGAGTGCAGGCTCTGTTCTGTATATTTTACAGCTACCCACATTAAAACAAAGATGAAAGTATCCCCGAAAGACCCCTTTCTTGCCCGACGAAGTACGCCACACCTAAAGGCACTAACAAGAATCATGTTTGAAAACTGCTCAGAAGTGGTTTGCTGTTGGGAAAGTGCAGGGAGGGGAACTCTTCAAAACCCTTGCGTTTCGTGGCCGTGTTTCCTTTTTAAAGAAAACGTATAAATCCACAAACCCTCTGTCCAAAATACACACAGCACTGTTTCCAGTCAACATTCCCATCTATGGAAAGTACCAAAAAAAAAGCAACAAAAATTGATAAGGGTCCCCAATTATTGCATTCTTAACAGACATATCTCAGGACACCTTTAAAACAGACATTTCTGAAATCGAACAGAACTGAGGGATGAATGGAAATCTACAACAAAGAGACTTGGCAGGCCAAGTGACTTGGAAAAGCCACACAGTTCATGCCAGTGGCTACATTCCTAAAGAGGACAAAGCCACACAAAAGGTCTCGGAGCTGCAGAGATCAAAACTCTCAGCCAGAAAAACCAGAGCAAAAGGAAGGAATAAACGAAACCACAGAGCAGAGGGCGTGTGTGTGTGTGTGTGTGTGTGTGTTTTCCTCCAGTGAAACTTCTCCAACAGTGCAGCCATCAATGAAATCAAAAACCTCCATCGAGGTCACCTTTTTTTAAGGAAATCAAGAAAGGCTGGGATCGGGTGGCTTGGATCCTTCCCTGTATTCCCCGGAGCTTCAAGATCAGCTCCGCTCCTTCCTACCACTTCTTCTGCATTACTGGGCTGCGGGGTCTCTACCCAAGGCGTCCAAACTTAAACTAAGCTTGTGGACCTCAGCCAACATTGCCTGTGTAGACAAAACACGAAAGGTGGCGGCGGCGGCGCGGACAAAAGAGAAGTCTGCACGGCACCGGTAGCAAGAGACCCAGACCCGCCACGGGCTGCAGACAAAGGAGTGCGCTGGGGGCCGCAGCAGCCGTCGTGGTTCCTTCCCCCCCCCAAAAAAAGCCTCTCCTTTCCTACCCCTCGCCATTGCCAGGTATCTTCCCCTCGCTGGGAGCCCCGCGCAACAGACGTGGCTGTCCCCAGGAGCCAACTCTCCCCCGGTAAAATATTTGAGCCCCCCCCCAAAGTTGCCATTCAAATAATTGGTGCGCGCGCCATGTCTTGGGATCGATGGTGCGGGGCGGAGCTTTCCTCGCGCGTCCTCGCAATATTTTATGCAATTTGCCCCCCCTTTCTCTCAACTCCCCCCCCCCCAACTTACAGGATGGTGGTCTGCGGCGACACGGCGGGGACGCTCTCGAGCATGAGGTGCATGCAGCGCACGGTGGTGCGGAAGCAGAGGCAGCGGCTGGGGCACCAAACGCTCCCCCTCGGCGGAGGAAGGGCGGGCTGCTGCTGCTGCGGGGAAGCGAAGGGCAGGAGGCTGCCGAGCAGGACGCCGAGGCAGAGCCCGGGGAAGGCAGCGCCCGCTCTGCGCCGGGCCATGCCGTCGAGCAAAAACCGAGCGGAGGAAGGCGGGGTGCGGGGAAAGAGAGAGAGAGAAGGGAAAAACAAGAAGGAAAGCAGGGCGAGGAGAGTAGCCGAGGCAGCTCTCGGCTCTGCTGCCGCTGCTCTCGCTCCGGTGGTCGAGCCGGCGGGGGCTTCAGGAGGCGAGCCAGTCGCCAGCGCGCAGCCCGGAGGGGGAGGAGAAAGAGGGGACGGCGGCAGGAGGGGCCGCCTCAGCCAGCCAGCCAGCTTGCTAGAAAGCAGGCAGCAGCTTCGCCGCGCCAAGGCCGGGGCTTTCCCCTGCGCTCGTCCGCCTGGAGCAGCGCAATGGAGGGGAGGAGGAGGGGGCTTCTGGTGGCCTCTTCTTCCACCCCACCCCGGCGCCAGCGGTGGCAATGGCTGCTGGTTTTTTTTCCGCCAGCTGCGAGGAGGGAGAAGGGGGAAGAAAACCTCCTCCCCTTATGGCCACCACACCTGGCGGAGGGAAACGCAAAAGACCCCCACTTCCGGCAGGCGCAGCTCAGCTGTGGTCGGGATGACGACAAAGAGTCTTCTTGTGGCCACTTATTTTACAGCACTAACCGCTCTGCAAATGGTTCCCAGTGTTGGTATTGACCTGTAAAGCTTTACAGGGCTCAGGGTCTCAATACTCTCTCCATACAAACCAGCCCAGGCCCTGCAATTGTCATCTGACGCCTTTCGCTACGTCCCCGCTCCCAGAGAGGTTCAGAGGGTGGCAATAGGAGAATGGCCTTTTCTGTGGTGGCTCCTGGATGGTGGGATGCTCTCCCCAGAGAGGCTCACCTGGCGCCATCGCTACCTGTCTTTAGGCGCCAGGCAAAAACATTCCTCTTAAATAATACATGGCCTGAAAAGATGTGGAGGAGAAAACTCTTTATTATGGTGATTCACTTATTATTGGGGACACGGGTGGCGCTGTGGGTTAAACCACAGAGCCTAGGACTTGCCGATCAGAAGGTCGGTGGTTCAAATCCCCGCAACGGGGTGAGCTCCCGTTGCTCGGTCTCTGCTCCTGCCATCCTAGCAGTTCGAAAGCACATCAAAGTGCAAGTAGATAAATACTACTTCCGGCGGGAAGGTAAACGATGTTTCCGTGCGCTGCTCTGGTTTGCCAGAAGTGGCTTAGTCATGCTGGCCACATGACCCGGAAGCTGTATGCCGGCTCCCTCAGCCAATAAAGCGAGATGCGCGCCGCAACCCCAGAGTTGGTCACGACTGGACCTAATGGTCAGGGGTCCCTTTACCTTTACCTTTACTTATTATTGGGCTGCCTGTCAGTATGCTTTCACTATGTTTTTATCTTTGATGTTTTGCAATGTGGTTTCCAATGTTGTACACTGCCCTGAGATCTTTTGATAAATGGCAGAAAAAGAAGTGGTATGGAATATAAAAGTGCTCCCCCTCACATTTCATCGTTTCTTTATGAAGTTGCAGCACTTGGGAGGCAGAGGGAGATGGCGATGGGAGAAGGGTGTGTGTGTGAAAACCACTTCTACTTCATTGGTCATGTCTGAACATATCTCCCTAGTTACATGTCCATTAATATCTGTCCATGAAGAAAATGGTCACAGAAGGAAAACCTTGCATATCTCTGTGGTCCCAGTAGGTGTGGGGTCATCTCTGTGTGCGGGTGGGCTATCGCTGCCTTTCTCAACCTTGGGTCCCCAGGTGTTGTTGGGCTACAACTCCCATCATCCCTGCTAGCTAGGGATGATGGGAGTTGTAGTCTAGCAACACCTGGGGACCCAAGGTTGAGAAAGGCTGGGCCTATTGCATTGTTTTGACAAATAAACTCGAAGACACCTTTTCTAAGGCAGACAGCTGCCCCAAGGACTGTTTAGAGCCCTCAAGCTGAATCAGGCCTCACACAAGCCCCCCCCCCATCTGTTTTCAGTGTGTCAGGGTGTGTCCCTTGAACATAAGGGCAGGTGAAAGTGCTCTGGAATAGGTTCTTCAGAATGCACCCAGTAAATCCACAAACATGTTAACTCCTCATTCCCATTAAGATTTCGAAAGGGCTTCCAAATCAAAGAAGTTGTTTCCAGATGGGCTTGCCTGATGTTGCACTTGGTGCCTATTGCCCCACCAAGGCTGGCATGTGGCCCAGAAGAGCCCCCCAGGCTGGAAAAAGGCGCCCCATCGCTGACTTAGCTCTTTAATGCAAAGCTTGAAGCTAGCTTCATCGTTAACATGAGTTGCCAGCCACTTTGAAGGCTCATTGTGGTGAAACAGCGAGACACATTTGTGTGTGTGTGTCCTTTGGTTGTGAGTTACAGAACATCGTCTGAAACACTTTGGAGTAGCCCTGACTGAACTCAGTAGGGCTTACTTATGAGTAGAGAAGCATACTGTAGTGTTTGACAGGAATACTCCATGGAAGGCCACTTATACTTTTGAACTACAACCACAGCAGAGAACTGTAAACAAAACATACAGATGGGAGCACCACAATGGAGGCCCTGGTGCAATGGAGCAGCAGGGATGCGGGTGGCGCTGTGGTCTAAACCACTGAGCCTCTTGGGCTTGCCGATCAGAAGGTTGGCAGTTCGAATCCCCCCGACGGGGTGAGCTCCCGTTGCTCTGTCCCTGCTCCTGCCAACCTAGCAGTTCGAAAGCATGCCAGTGCAAGTAGATAAATAGGTACCGCTGTGGTGGGAAGGTAAACGGCGTTTCTGTGCACTCTGGTTTCCGTCATGGTGTTCCATTGCGCCAGAAGCAATTTAGTCATGCTGGCCACATGACACAGAAAGCTGTCTGTGGAAAACGCCAGCACCCTTGGCCTGAAAGCGAGATGAGCACCACAACCCCATAGCCGCCTTTGACTAGACTTGACCGGTCAGGGGTCATTTACCTTTTTTTTTTTACCTGCAGGCGGGGAGGGAAGTGCATGCTCACACATAAGACCCAGTAAAAACACAAAGCACCAATGTTCGGGATCAAATAAGGCCACAACTTTTATTGATTACAGATGTAAGCTGGTTTTGGTGCAGGCATTGGGTGTGTATCCTGAAATCAAGCAGCCACCGCCTGATGGATAGTAGCGGCAGACTACTGCCAGGGGTCACCAGCACATTATCTCAAAAGAATACAGAGTATTTTCCTTGACTTAAGAGGGAGCTGCATCCATCGATCAACTTCAAAGTTACTCCCTGAGAGTATGATGTATTGGCGAGCGAGTGTGATTGATATTGAACAGTTATCATGAAGTTAATTATGGCAAGGAATAGTCTTGGTTAGGATCTGATGCTGGAATTGTATTTTTAAACAGAGAAAAACTTCCACAAAACAGTGGCATGTTTTATTCTCTCACTGAAACTTACAGAATATAATTTGAAGCAGCTTGTTATCAGAACCAAAAGTATTTGTATCAAAAGCTAAATTACCGTAAGTGCACAATCACTCACGCACACACACACACAAAGTTCAATGCTATTTGTAGGTCAACATGAACTTTTTCTCCTGAGTGTTGTGTAATACCTTGAGGCAGCCAGTGTTACTGTTTATTTAAATGTACTGATAATACTCCAAACGGATGTAATAGGAATGTCCAATTTGTGACATATTTATACTTTTAGTTTTAAACACATAATTTGCTGGCAACGGTCAAAGGGAAGCTAACTTCTGCCAAAGTCAGAACGATGCATACTGTGTGCTAGGAAATCTTAAAAAGTAAAATAGAAAAAGAAAGACATACCGTAATTTACATCTGGAGCAGATTTTTGTTTATTTATCCTTTGCCTTAAACAGGATGTTCTGTGTCAATAAAGATTATGGGGTTATGGCAAAATGTTCTAGAGCAGGATTTTGATAACGACCAATGATTCTAATATCCAATTAGCTTGCGGGGGGGGGGGGGGTTTGGCTTTTGGAGAAGTAGAAAACCTTCAACTGATTGCTTCTTCTGAAAGCCAACTATTTTCCAGGCACTATTCAAGATGTATATAGAGCAATTGGAAGATAAAGTCTAAGTTGGCTGAAGCTAAATCCAGAGGTGGAGGAGGTAGCCAAACCATGGCCAACAGAATTCAACAGACCTCCTTCTGGAGACTTCCAAGAATGAAAGATGATTCCCTACTTTCTAGATAATCCAGACAGCACAACTTTGTTCCTTCCCAGCAGTACAATCAGAGGCAAGTCCTGGCAATGTTTGATTCTTCTGTACAGGAAATGGTGCGATAAATATGCTAGAACATTATCTAAAGAAAAACCCATGTTTTGATGTAACTATTTGAGCGGTAGCTCAGTAGGAAGAACAAAGATTACTAGGAGGAAAAATGAAACACAAATGCACAACAAATATGAGCCTGAATGAACAACAATAATACGGTATATTTTGCAATGTGAGCAGCTGGGAAAAATATTTAGGTATTTCACACTATGGTCAATTTCAGAACTTTGCAATCAAAAGCAGGTTCACAACGTGAAAAGGCTTGCATCACAAGTAAAACATCTTTCATGCCTTGCCTCACAAAAATCTGGAATCAAATCAATGTGGCGGTCCATTTTAGGCGAATTCTGGATAAAAATGATGGGGGGGGGAATGTTACCTCAAGATGACTTGAAACCAGTGAAGTTGTGCTTATTTCTGGCAACTAAAGAACTATTCAGATTCTGGCTACAATTTCTTATGTGCTTCCTTGCACACATTCCTGCTTTATCTTGTTTTTTGTCCAATACTGCCACTTGCTGGTTTTCTCTCCGCACTGCTACCACCTACAATTGGTTGCCACATGAGTAAGAATGCAGTTTATGGAAGTTTTAATTTCACATGGTTATCATCACACAGCATAACATTCCAGAAGAAAACACATGGGGCAAATTTGCTTCAGGTTGGTCCTGGCAGCAAGCTGCATATATTTAAAGAATGCATAAAGCCCCAGGGTTAATGTAACCCGCATTTTAAAATTTTCATTTCCCGATTTTCTTACAAATTAATACAACAGTCATCTTTGGATTTATTTATTTTTTGCTTTCTCTGAATAGTTATTTATAGAAAATTCTGGGTTCTACCCCCACCCCTTGACAGAGAATATTTTAAAAGAGAAGGGACTTCTTTTTTAAAAAATAGCATCAATGAATGAATGGATATTTTAAACTCCAGTCTTCAAAAACAAGAAGCAGAGAGAGAGAGAGAGAGCGCACACACAATTTGTTGGTCCTCATCTGCGGCCAGGCTGGTTCAAGACATATGAAGTGGTATACACCTCAGGTCCAGTCTACGTTAAGAGATTGCCTTATCCTTTATACACTCAGCAGATCACTGTGGTCTGTGGGAAAGTTTCTCTGCAAAGTCCAAGGATCTCAGAACTTAGGGTAGGGCTTTTAGTTTGGCTGCCCCTGTTCTGTGGCATGGCGTTCCTGTCAAGATACACCAGGCACTCACTCCCTGCACTTCCCAGAAACAATGGAAGACCATTTTTGTGCTCATAGGATTTCTCAGCTGGATAAACAGGTCTTTGCCATGGGTGTCTTAATTTGTATTGTTTAATGTTTGCTTTAAACGCATTGGTTGGTTTTTTTGTTTGTTTTTTGCTTTGCGTTTAACTGTTCTTTGCTGTTTTCATCATACATCATGTGTCAAAGGTGATTACTGAATTATTCATTACTGAGGGATCTCTTTACACTTTAAAACAAAAATCTACTGAGAACCGTGGTATTCTTATAGAAGTGTATTTTGCATTTTCATCATTTGCTATCATAGGTGGTCAAGTCCCAGCTTTTGAAGCCTCAGCTGGAAAGCATGCAGAAAAAAAAGATAGATAGATGATAGATAGATAGATGATAGATAGATAGAGATAGATAGATATGTAACTGTATGTATGTGTGCATACATGTGCAGGGGGTAGTAAAATCAAAATATGGGAGGGGAAAACATGGGACATTGAGTGGAATAAACATTAGTGATGAGAACCTGAGCCCAGCATGGAAAGTTAAGTGTAAGTAGATAAGGTCCAGGTATTAAAAAGATAACACCTTGCACCTAACAGATATAGTTGTCAACAATTCTGAGTGAAGAGGAGCTATTAAAAATGTAGGTTCTGATAACTTGGGCTCTACTACTCCAAGTTGGTAAGTGTTTCTAAGAATGAGTCTGTTGAGAAATGAAGAATCTGGCCAGATAATGCAAAACTATATATACCGTATTTTTCCGTGTATAAGACAATGCTTTTTGCTAAGGAAAAAAGCCAAAATTGGGTGTTATCTTATACACAGATAGTGAATGCAGAGCGGGAACGTGTGATTAATGGCAGCAGCAAGCAGGAGATGGGCAGCGGCGACTGGGCAGGTGATTGGTGGCTGCAGCAAGGTCTGCTGGCAATTGCCTGTGGCAATTGGGCAGGTGGTTGGCGGCTATGGTGAGCGGGCAGACAATTGGTGGCTGTGGCAAGTGACTGGCAGTGGTGGGCAGGAGGGTGAGCAATTGGCGGACCTCCCTCACCCCCACCCCACCCCAAAAGCCTAATAATAATAATAATAATAATATATTTATACCCCACCCATCTGGCTGGGTTTGCTCCACCACTCTGGGCGGCTTCCAACAAAATATTAAAATACAATAGTCTGTTAAACATTAAAAGCTTCCCTAAACAGGGCTGCCTTCAGATGTCTTCTAAAAGTCTGGTAGTTGTTGTTCTCTTTGACATCTGGTGGGAGGGCGTTTCACAGGGCGGATGCCACTACCTGGTTCCCTGTAACTTGGTTTATCGCAGCAAGGGAACCGCCAGAAGGCCTTCGGCACTGGACCTCAGCATCCGGGCAGACCGATGGGGGTGGAGACGCTCCTTCAGGTATCCCGAAGGCCATTTAGGGCTTTAAAGATCAGCACCAACACTTTGAATTGTGCTCGGAAACGTACTGGGAGCCAATGTAGGTCTTTCAAGACTGGTGTCAATCTAATTTCTTAATTTTGGTGTTTTAAAAAATAGGGCTCGTCTTATACATGGGGGTGTCTTATACACAGAAAGATATGGGTGTGTGTGTGTGTATAGGATGAGAATTCAGTTATTAAAAAGGAGAAAGAAAGGTGCCCCTGCAAAGTTTGGCTGAATATATGAGACTGCCAGTACCGTGGGTGAAATCAAGAAAGGTAAAAATGGATCAGAGAACAGCTGTGCTACAAATGTGGCAACACGTTTGCTTGTTTATTTATTCATTTATTTATTTAGAGTAAGATGTGTTCACATCCAGCATGACAAAATTTGTACAAATTTCACAATTTAAAAATGAAGTTATCACAGCAACTTGTGATTTCACACATTTATAGCAAAATTAAAATGTCAACAAACCCATGCCGTGTAGTACAAAAATAAATCAAACCTCAGTTCCACAGAGAGCACAATAAGTAGTTTATACAAAATTCTGTCTTAATAAATGAGCACTTAAATCAAACGCAAGAAAAATGAACAATAAGTTAGAATAAATAAAACTCTGATGACTCACAATAATTTCAGATGAAAGGTCAGCATTCTAATATGTGACACTTTTTTGTGTGTGATCCCTATATAATAGTCACAGATATCTTTTGATTTGATATTATGTACCAACATTAGATGAGCAGCGCGGATTTGTGCTTAAAATCCCTTTTTCCCATTGTACATAGGTGATAACGATAAGAATCCAAAACTGATACTATCTATTACTCTACGGAAAGCATTACTATATTGGCAAAGAAGCGGCAGACACAATGCAGTGGGAAAAAAATGCATATGCCCTTATGAACAATGAGAGCCCTAAAAGGAGGCTAGGGCAAAAAGTACAATATATATGGCAGAAGGTGAACGACAAGCACCTTGCTTCAGCTCTCAAAAAGGCAATTCTAAGCATGGCAGCTACAACTAATAGCACAACAGAAAAAGGAGGGCACTATACAGAAGAAGACACTGCAGAGCCCCCAAAGTAATTACATAATCTTCTCCCAGCTAGTTATTAAAGTCCTCGTGGAAAAAACTGTAAGCTTTTTGTACAGTGAATAGTATAAAGTGCCGCTGGGATATACATATATTTATACATATATATATATACCGAGGTTGAGTATTGTATCAGAATATTTGTTGTGAGATCCCTGTAGCAAATATTATTGGACGAGCCCACGTCGGCTTCCACTCTAATTTGTTCAAATTTAGTGTCACAAAGCGAATGACACACGAGATTGCACACCTCCGTATGGATATATAGGGCAAGGTAAGTGCAAATAGTCAACTGGCACATTGTGGGGACAATGACCCTGTAAGTCCTGTTCTGCTAAAAATATTTTATTTTATTTATTATTATTATTTTTTTATTTTTTACAAAACCCATCTTTTTTATTTATTTTTTTCATAACAAAATTTTTTCAAAGTACTTTTGTACTTTCTGCATAACATCAAGACATGGAAGGAAAAGATATGCTATCAAATTGAAATCAATTCAACATCCGACATACACGACACGCCATCTGAATTACTAATTTAAATGGGAGGGGGGGAAACAAAAAAAATGCCGCAAGGAAAAGTGGTCTTATGCATACATATAGTGCAGTTATTTTGAAGAAATAACAATCAAATCTGAAAAGTACAATACGTCTTTTTTTTTTAGCTTGAAATGATGCAATTTAAAGCAAAAAGTGCCAAAGTATATTTAGTTACATTAAATTTTCTGATTGCATTCATTCATTTATTTTTATTTATTTTTTGCAATAGGTAACAGTAGAACAAATAGATAGCATATGGAAATGCCACAGGAATAATGATTGTACGCCAAAAAATAAAAATAATAACCGTAACCCCAGAACCAAAACAGTAAAAAAAAGGGAACAAGGTAAAAAAAACCAGGTTAACTGAACTGCATTCTATTTCCTACGCAGGGTAGCAATGAATCCAGGCCAGTAACTACTGTAAAGATAAAACTTAGGGGTTCATTCCCAAATTAAAAACTTTTTTTTAATGGCAATATTTCTTTGAAACTATTGCCTTTGTATTAGGAAGGAAAGACTGAACTTCTGAAAGATGAACTACAATGCTATAACAGATAACTCAGAGGGAAACTCTAGGAGTCCTGGAGAAACAGAGGATGTTGGCTCCAAAGTGTATTTGAAAAGAAAAGTTGATATCTTCATGTTGTCCACCTCTGATAGAGCTCCTGTCATTATGGAGGTTCCCATATTCATACCATGTAATGCTTAGAAGTTAATTAAAAAGTGCTGTTTAAGCTGCTTTGAATCTTCTCTCTCAAGTTTCCATGGCTTGATGTTGTCTTACAATAAATTACTCCTTTTACATCTCACATCTAATTCATGCCCTTTGCTTGGAATTAAAAACAAAAACAAAACAAAACAAAACAAAAAACCCTTCTTTTTATTGCCCCCCGCCACATACCATCCTCTGAAAACAAAAGTCACACAATATTTCAAGCATTGTTCAAAAATAAAGCATTTTTGGCAACCAAATCTTGCTATGAAACAATATGCACACAAAATGTAATTTCTTAAATCCCATAAAATCCTCCAGCAATGAGACAAAATGAGAGTGTCTAAAAAGTGGCCGCAGACTGCAACATTGTCATTCAAAGCGGATTTTCTTTTTTCTTTTCTTTTTTGTCCATTTCAGTTCAAAATACTAAAACATTTAATCACTAAAGCATTAAAAAGAATTTACACTCTATTTTGATCAGCTTACCTCTTCAGAAATATATTTACCCCAAAAATGTGCATACATTAGCAGCTATAAACATTACATGGCATATCACACTATGTCAGCTTATATGAAAACGTACAAAATGTGAATGTATTCAAAAAACTATTCTGCAGTTACTATCTTTAAAGCAAGACATAAAATTATCATGAAGTCTTGTAAGCATAACACTGTTTTAAACAGAAAGAAATATATAACACTTTCTGGTAAATTACAGCAGCAAAAAACAAGAGGCATCATTTTTTTTTTAAAGGTAAGATTTTTTTCACCACTACAGCAGCTGCTCACACCTGAATTCCTCTCACAGCCTGTTTTATATTTTCCAGTAGGGCTTTATTTTCTGGACTCTGATAACGATCTTGATTTGTATACATGTCCGTCAAAGTGGTCACGTAAGCATCAAAATTTTGTTCATTGATTGGTTCCTACGAGATATTAAATAGTAGTTCATATACAACTTTTATTTGCTTAATGGTATATTCATTTATGCATAACAAACTATCACAGCACATTGACACCATTTTCTTAGCACATTAAAAAGGTCTAGTTTAGCGCTTACTTAATTTTTACAGGAGACATCGGAACTGGCCCACCGTGTCTTTTTTTTTTTTTAGCAGTTAAATTTATCTCTATGGTTTCAGGGTTGATACCGCAAATCTCCATCGGGCTGAGGAGCCATAAATATAAAAACAAAAAGACATCTACTGTATGAGGTGAAGGACCGCCAAATTCCTTAACTTGTGCCTCAGTCACTTACCATATGCGGTAGCTGGATATTAGCTAGACTATGAATTAAAGATTGGCTTAAATTAGCCAATTCGTGAAGGAGCGACTCATTTTGTTGCTCAATTACTTTGTTTTCTTCTTCTATCGTCTTCAGGTTGCTCTCCATGGTGGTAATCTGAAAGGGACAGAATAGTGTACAATGTAACAGGAAGCAGAACACCTTTAAAACGACGGAGGGGGGGGGAATGTTATGTCAGTTATAACACTAAGTTGATCCAGAGTGTCCCTCTATGAGCCAGTGCAGATCTATGGTACTTGGAGGGCGCAGTGCATCTTTTGCTGTTCTGTAGCTCATCCAACCTTCCAGAACAGATTTCAGGGAGCAAAAAATGCTCAGGAGGAAGGAAGAATCAGTGACATTCCTTTCCTGGCCTCTTCCTCTGGTCTATGTTCTGTGTTCAGCGTTCCACTTATGGGTGATTCCACATCAAATCAATGCAAAAAACAAGGGTTTTTGTCACCAACCATCTCATATTTTGATGAAACTTGGTGTACACCCTTCCCTTATGGTTGAAAGAAACCCCCTTAATTTCCCCCCCCTCTGTCTCAAACGGTTTTAATTTTATAGCACTTCGAAGTTTCCTGTAAAATTTCTAAGAGATCTGATCATTGGTTATGGGGGGGAATGTACACAAGGGTATCTTGTGCCAAGGGTCTCGAGAGGGACAGACAACACAGATTTAACAAAACTTTGAAGTGCTATAAAAATTAAAACTACTTGAGATGGGGGGGGGAATTAAGGGGGTTTCTTTCAACCATAAGGGAAGGATGTACACCAAATTTCATCAACATCTGAGACGGAGGATGACATGACCTCATTGAAATGACGTTGAATGACCCTTATGGAAACACTGAACTCAAGCCATTATGTTCCGCCAAATCTCCTGGGCTTGACGTCACAATAAAGTACTCCTTTTACACCTCACATCTAATTCATACTCTTCACTTCGAATTAAGAAAAGCCAAGTTGTTTTTTAAAAAAAACGTGCCTACCACATACCATCCTCTGAAAAATATATATAAATCATGCAAATTGTTCCCCGGCCTTACAATGGATTAGTCCATGTCCATTTTTATCTATAGAAAACTACACTTTTTGAACCATCTACGTAAACTAAGAACAGATGGAAATAGATATTAAGAAGCAGTCAATGACCAAAACTAGATATGACTTTAAGCTTATTTTTAAACACGTGCTCGCAGCCTCCTTTTGTTTTCAAAAAAAAGGAGAGCCATCCCTCCATCTTGGATCAGGGCCGCAGCAAAGGGTTCCTTTTCGCCACCCCCATTGTCCAACAATTGTCTCCCTTAAACTGCTTAAAAATCGGAACAAATAAGCACTTTGGGGCAGGAGACCAGTTTTGCAAGGAAAATGGAGATGGGAAAATGGTTAAGTGGCCTCTTCCCCTGAAGTGCAATTCAGATCCAAGTTCGGAGCACCACAGTTACTTTTTAGGAGAAAAGGAACATGGCCAGTTGCGATTCAAAACAGTACTTAACATCATGGATAGTTTGCTCCTTTGCACAATGTAGCATCTAGCGTGCCTGAGCAGAAAGCTTGGACCATTGATTTCTGGTGATCTGCCTTTACTCCCCCCCCCTCCATCTATCATCCATATATAAGAGAGTAAAAGCTGTACATATTCATTTAGAACAAAATCCTTCTTTAACCTGATGGTTTTGATTATGATTTCAGGGAGAAATGTTTGCAGCTGCCATGTTAGGGAAGCAGTACCAAATCACGGTTTTCTAACCTCCCATACGGTTTTTAAAACAGGGCAAACACATTAAGGAAAAATTGGGAGAAAGAAAATAAAATATCCCCACAGAGTGCGACTAGCCTATTTATTTATCTTAATCCAGTCATGTAAAAAACCATTGGATTTAGGACTTTATAAAACTGTTACCTGAGTTCGGAGTTTTATCATATCAGCTTCCATCTGGGAGTTGGATTCATTTAATTCCTTTATTTCTTCATCTAACTGTTTAATTTCTTCATCATTTTCTATACCTATGCAATAATAAAAAAGATATATTAAAATATAGTTGTTAGAAATCTGAGTTAAGCAACTGAGCCATTTCACAGTTTGAAGTTTAGGTCAATAAAACAAAAAGGTCAAAATGGTTACATCTCATGGGATATTCCATTTTAAGCAGAGCCTTCCACAAGCTAAGGTAAGAACATTCAAAGGGGAACCAAGACCGTAGGAATCCACCCGCTGGCAAAGTAACCACACGTGGAAGATTCTATAAGGCTTAATGGTCCCCAGCTCTCTTCCCTGTTGCCTGGGCCCTGCAATGGGACACTGGAGGGAGTGGCAGGTCTCTGCATACTCTCCACATTTTCATCCTACCCAACCTGCCAGAAAAGGCACATAGAATATACCGTATTTTTTCGTGTATAAGGCACTCCCATGTATAAGACGACCCATATTTTTTGAGCCCCAAATTAAGAAATAAATATTTAAAAACCAAATGGAACAATTTTGATATTTTATTAAATATTCAAAACACCGGTATATTTAGTACCGTATATTTAAACATCAAACAGTGAGGCAAGCTGTGTAATGGCGGCTGCTCCTTTCAGCTCAGTGTAACTCCACTGTGTGTTGCACTTTTGTCTCAGTATTTACAGTATGTACCGTATTTACTCCATGAGTGCTGGCAGATGCGAGCGCTGACTGAGGAGCTGTGACTGCCATGCCTGCCTGAGTGAGTGCGCTTGGGAAATGGAGGGTCTGGGTAGCCAGGGGGCGGCTGAGGGAACCGGGTGGAAGGGACAATGTCCGGAGTGGGGGCTGCTGGGAGGGGGAGTACCAGACCAGTGTTTGTTGTGAGACCAATAGTGAGGGGAGGATGGGGAAAGAATATGCATGGTGGCATGTATTTATCTATATATTTAATTGCAACATTCCATGTATAAGACGACCCCCAATTTTAAACTTACAAAATTTGGGGGGAAAGATCATCTTATACATGGAAAAATACGGTAAGTAGCTTGCAAGGCACAGAGAGGAAGAACTGGATGGTGGTATGGAAAGCATATACTGTACAGACCCTCCCAACATCCCACTGTGCCATCTGCATGCATAAGTGGAGGAAAGGGAGAAAATAGGGCAAGTATCCAGCCCAGCTGTGAACCTTGACATTCCCATGGGGTGGAAAAGTCCTTCCACATTCTAAATTTAAACACACTAGTTCAATCCTTCAACCACAACTTCTATTTTTGCCCATTTGCTCAAGTAACAGAGTTTGATGGCTACCCAATGAACTGTGGCATTAAATTCATATTTCCATCTAATGTCCACTTTTTAGAAAATGCAGACTTCCCCACAGATGCTATTTGAATGGGGGGGACTTTCCATTAGCATCATACAGCTAAGTTTTATTTTTTTCTTGAGATATTTGTTCTTGTCTTTCTTTCATATGAATGATATGTAATGTTACCGAATTGTTGTTCGACATATCGGTTCTTTTTGCTCATCCATAGCTTTCTGGCATAGTTTTGGGTAAAAAAGGCAGGTTAAAAATGATGAAAATAAAATTGATAAAAGTATCCAAGTTTCATCATAACGCCAGATGAAGTGATTATATTATATGAGCTTTTCTGGCCATACATAGTATAATGGAGCAGATTAAATACCCGTGCCAAATGTATAAATTGGGTTAAAGACAACAGGATATTGTGGGAATTTTAGACTTAATGGTCCCCTTTTGATGGTAATGTGGTATTTCAAAATCTAGCCATGCTAAATTTGGGGACCCTCTTCGTCAGTCTGATGAATGAGGCTCTGCACTGGAAGGAGAGGAATTCTGGTAATTCCAAGTGCCTAAAAAACTTTGAGCCAAGGCTGCACTGCTTTGCAAACTTTCCTTGGAGTAAGATGCAATTAATACAGAGGGACATGTTTCTGAGCAAACATGCATATGATTGTGCTTCACATGAGCTTTCTGCTTTACAATGGCAGCACAAATCACAGCATAGGTGTTCTCTGAAGCACATTCAGAAGCTGATTTTTTGCAGCAGCAGCAAAATCACTTCAGTGCCGTACACTGTAGCCTGACGGCACTTTCTAGAAGGACTCCAAGATTGTGTTCAGAAAGACTCCTTTGTAATACCATAGTGAGTAAATTATTCTCACAGTGAGAGAGTGAAGTAAACAGTGATAGCTGCGTCTCATTTAATCCACAACAATTAGCTATTTACCATTGCTAGCCCTCTGCTTTATTGTAAGCATTTGTTCTCCCGACAGCTTTGCTCTCTTCATTGCCGACGTAGCTCTGGGGCATCCTGATAGACTGTAGACAACAAGTGAGGAAAGAATTATTAATTGTAATAAGTCATGGGTGTTCAGTACGTCAGCTAAATCGACTACGGAAACAGAGTTACAGGGAAGTCTCTCTCGACTGCCACTGGTAAGGTGCTGGATTCTGAAAGAGAAGAGGAACTGTTCTCAGACAAGAAGAGGAAAAATATAAGACTTAAAAATGGAAAGGGGGAAAAAAACTAGTTACTTTTGTACACCATGGTATGTCCCTCTTCTCTTTGTCTAATTGGCTGATGTTGCAATAACTTCATTCACTGCCTAAAAACACTGAAAGGTAGAAGAATGCTAGTTTTTCACTAAACAAACAAGGAGAATGGTGCCCATATATTTGCCTCATATACAAAGGGTAGAGACTTATTTTTATAAAGAAAGCTGTGCTGGGGATTATAGTTCAGCTGCAGGGAAGATGCCCATGTTCATCTGTCTTAGAACCTAGTTTTTCTTACCAAATGACAAGAACACGCATTTCATATAAACCCAGTTTTAATAAATCACAGTAGTTATAGTTAGAACACGCACACCTTTTTGGCAACAAATTTTCCCCACGGCAATGAAACCTATATTTATCATTCTTATTTAAACTACCTCAAAGGAATAAATATGAATGTATAGCTTGTATCTTATCCCAAATAAGTGATACGCACCCTATTTTAAGCTTGAGGGATTTGAGCTGATTTCATTTCATTTGCAGGTTCAAATACAAATGCAGAAACATTTCCTACCATTGTGTAACAATAGGGCAGCTCCTGAAAAGTTTGTCACAAGTTCTAGATGAGTTCTAATCAAAAATCATATAACCATTCTGTATTTACAAAATAGTATGAGGGAAATTTTGCTGGTTAGGAATTTGACTGCAGGGGGTTGGGCTACTTCCGTCTTTACAATTCTGTGATTCTATGAAATATACTGTATTAGTAAGGGTATGCCAAGAGAACATGGCACAAACTAAGGACCAATTTAGAGTTTTAATTTTTTTTTACAGTGTCATTTTTCTAGAAAAAGAGGTGTCAGAACCCATCATGTATAGTATATAATATTTATGTATATTGTGGGGCAGATTGGAGTGAAGGCACCTGAAACCAGTCATAGAGTTTGCATTGGCCCTCCAAGTATTTATCCAGGAAATGGTTTGGCAGGGCTGGCCGAAGAAATTTTGCTTCCCAAAGCAAATCACCACTGGTAATGGAACAGTGTCCTCTCCTACACTTGAGGGCAGTAAGCAAGGTTATGGGGTGCATACATAGATCCCTCACTATCTACTAAATCAGGCATAGGCAAACTTGGCCCTCCAGATGTTTTGGGACTACAATTCCCATCATCCCTCGCTAACAGGACCAGTGGTCAGAGATTATGGGAGTTGTAGTCCCAAAACATCTGGAGGGACATGTTTGCCTATGGCTGTACTAAATGAAGCACCCACTTCATTCTTACTAATGGGTTGGTCCCACAGTCTGGTTAGAGGCACAAACCTTGGAGACTTGGCCTTTGGAACAAAGCCTTTGGTACTGCTGAGAAGGGGAAAGGGGACACTCCAACCTGCTACTCCTGGATGAATAATCTACTAAATAAACCCAGAACAGAGAGGTGGTAGTCTGAGTGCACCAAATGGAATGAGAGCTTGCGGGCCTTGGGGACATCTAACTTCACCCTTTAAGGACAGGAACTTGCAGGAATGGTGCTATTTTCATGGAAGCTACTTTGCACGAATCTTTTGGTTCCAGGATCCTAGTAAGAGAAGGTTTGGGGCCACTGGGGGTGGGTGGGTTGCCCTAAACAAACAATAGAAAGAAGCAGATAGGTTAAGGTGAAAGATGGCAACTGGATTGAATGACTCAGTTCTAGGTGAGCTGGGGGCCATCAAATTTTCAGCCAGTTCACTGTGTAGATAGCAAAATCACAGAATCATGGCCCATCTGATTTGTTGTATTTTTGTACTTTTGCTGTATTGCTTGCTTTATTAATATGCTGTTAACCGCTATGGAAGTCTTTGGGCCAAAAAACGCAATACGAATGAACCACAATGTAACATGTTTCCCCATGTTTTTATCTCACGTTTTATCTCACAAATTGTAGGTTTGGGGACTATGGGGGGTTTGATATTTGCTGCTATCTACTGTTAATATAGGGACGCAGGTGGTGCTGTGGGTTAAACCACAGAGCCTAGGACTTGCCGATCAGAAGGTCGGCGGTTCGAATCCCTGCGACGGGGTGAGCTCCCGTTGCTCAGTCCCAGCTCCTGCCAACCTAGCAGTTCAAAAGCACACCAGTGCAAGTAGATAAATAGGTACTGCTCTGGCGGGAAGGTAAAGTGGCTTAGTCATGCTGGCCACATGACCCTGAAGCTGTACGCCGGCTCCCTCGGCCAGTAAAGCGAGATGAGCGCCGCAACCCCAGAGTCGGCTACAACTGGACCTAATGGTCAGGGGTCCCTTTACCTTTTTTTACTGTTAAAATAAGACTGACTGGGTGTGTGGAATCTAACTTTTGAGTTGTCCCTCACTTTCTTGAGAGTATAATCTTAGCACACACCTGGAACTTCTGAGCACTCTTTAAAAGATGTGGGTGGAAGACATGCCTTGCATGCATGTTTTTAATTTTATTAAAGGCAAGTTATATTATGGAGAAAAGTGAAGGAATAGAAAAGGAAAGCAAGCTAGTTATGCTTTAACTATTTGTTTGCTTTGATGTTTGTACTGATATTTTCTAATATATTGCTCACAAAAAAAAAAAAACTGGGCCAATTTAAAGCCTGGGTGAGGTTCACAAATGTAAATCCAAATTTAAAAAAGGAGTGTATGAGACTGACTACTAAGAAGACAGGGCTCAGATTAGATTCAGAATCTAATCTTAAACCATCTTTAACCATCAAAATTTCATATATTATGAATGCAAAGATTAGTCGCAATATATTAAGGAGATCTTCCATTTTCTTGCATGTTATTTCATTTCCTCGGGCACTAGAGGCCGGTAATAATAATTAGTCTGGTGGAATATAATGAGGATATAGATTTATAGGCAGACTTCATTTCTGTTTATAGTGCTTTAGGGCATAAAATGCCAGCTAGTGAAGATAAATCAAATCTTATTTGCTTTACTCATAGGCCAGATTACTCAACTGTCACTTCCATAGTTCATCATCTGAAGTAAAGTTGGTTACTGTTTGGTGGAATACGCTATAATGGAATTTAGTCTCATAATCATGCATATTGCTTGAGTCTGAAACGGAATAAGGATTCAATCCTGTCACCAGTTGAATGTCGGTAACTAACAATGAATGAGCAAATGCATGACTTCAGTCTCATTGTTATTTGAGCTCTTTCACAAGAGGGGTGGGAATCTCCATCCCGCAGGCCAGTCTTGGTGTCCATGTTGAGCTGTGAACCAATTTCCTCCACCTGGTGACATCAGTTGCTGGGTGCAGGGTCAATCCTTCACCAGCATGTTGCCTCAGCATGTGAGCATTGCAGCTTGCAGGGCTGCACTCTGACTCTATGATCACTAGCTGGCAGGTAAAGGTAAAGGACCCCTGGATGGTTAAGTCCAGTCAAAGGTGACTATGGGGTGTGGCACTCATCTTGCTTCAGGCCCAGATTTGTCCACAGACAGCTTTCCGGGTCTTGTGGCCAGCATGACTAAACTGCTTCTGGTGCACAGAGGACCATGACGAGTGCCTGCTTTTGAGGCTAGCGCTACTGAGCTCATTTCTAGGTTTAGGCCACCACCTTCTCTAAAGATTTATTTTTCATGCTGCAAAACAAACTTGGGACTATTTTGTTACAAATTTCAGAAGAAGAATCTACCCTCTGTTTTTCATCACTTATGGCTTTGGAATGTTATGCTAATTATTAACACCCCAGAACTAACTCTGCATGCACGCAAATATCATCTTAACTAAACCGTAACATACTTGAAAGAGATGTGTAGCTGAGGTGAAGAGCTTGGGCTATATCTACTCTTCCAACAAAAATGGTCTGTGAATGGTAGAATGTGGAGTGCTACCCCCTAATTATCAAACTACAATTTCCTGGGAAGAAGAAGCCAGTTAAATCTGCAGTGTAAATTCATTCAACGTATCTAAGAAACTTAATTGGAGGACACCCTTACAAACATGAGGAGAGGCTGTTTCTCACATGAAGAAAATATAATTAGTGCAGAATATATGTGCAAAGAGAGAAGAAAGCATTCAGTCTGAACAGAATTTTAAAATAAATAGACTTTGGTGCACAAGGAATTAAAAGCAAAACACATTTAACTCCCCAAAGTCACTCATTGTTCTAAAATAATTCCATCCAAAGAAGCAGCGTTTCATCGGATTATTTGTTGGTTGTATAGGATAATATGCATAATCGCACATAAGATAGAAGCTTTTCCTTACTCACTCCTGAATCACAGATCCTAGATTACAAGTGGGATTAGTTTGTAATCCTACTATGGTACGCTCTCTCTCTCTCTTGTGTGCTTTTTCTTAAAAGCATTCTAATTCCTAGTAATACTTAAGTTGGTTTTCACAAAGACATACTAATTCATAGTTCTGCCTACTCTGGAAGGAACATTCACATGGTTGGCACAAGGCTTAAGAATCCAGGTGCGCTAAATTGTTTCTTTCCTTTGTCAGAACGCGTTATCAACAAACCCCACAGATTGTGAAAAGATTTATCCTGGAGGCTGATACATGTCATATGCCTAACTCACAAAGATGTCCAACACAACAGCTCAGAACCCAACAACACACCAGGCAACAATGACAGGCTTTCCCAGCCTTTGTCACAGAGTTTTAGTCTTGTTTTAAATGCATTTGCTGCTTTCGTGCTTTTAACTGTTTTTCATTATCTATTGCGTTTCTCACCTTGAGATGGTGGTTTAGAAGGTGATTAATAAATTAATTGTAATAAGAATAAGAGTAATGGTGTTATTGTCTTTGCTCCGGTCTTGGGTCTCTGAAAGGGAGGTCTTTCCAGGCTGAAGTACTACAGAAACTGCAGTGGCATGCAAGCCCAGGAGATATGAAAAGGAAGTTAGCTCCATAGCACTTACATAGGTATGATTTTCTGCCTTTGGCTGGTATGCTTCCATGCCATAACCATATACAGGAGCAAACTAGGCAGTATACTATGTGGTTCATTGGAATAGAAATTTATTGTTTTTTATATATTTAATAACAACATTCCTATTCCATTGCATAAGAACGCTTCAGGAATGATAGAACTATTCTGATTCTCCTCAGCCCACCCAGCCTTCTCCTGTGTATGGAGGCAGAACAGGACAGGTTTGTTTCGGCTAATTCTGATTTGTTCCAGCTCATTCTGCATTAAGTATTAGATATGTGGCTGTTTAATATGCTTTTCTTTCCTAAGGGATCTCTCTGTCTATATAGATATATATGTAAATATAATCAACAGTCAACAAGTTTTGAAACTGCTCACTGGCATCACCATCAGGACGATACCAATTAGCTACTACTAATTGTTCTATAGCAGCGCATTCAGTAAAAGGGCTAGTTAACATAGGTAAAACATTTCCCCCTTTCAATACCTTTTCTCTCTCTCTTCAGAGTTCTTGGGTTAAGGCATGTTAGAAGAGCATCTTTACTAACTTTGGACAGGTGAACCACGGGCACGCTATGTTCTGCTAGCAAAAAACTTACAAAAACCATGGAGGTTTGTACTTGGAGATGGCGCAGATTAGAACATCTAGTTGAGTTTAGGCAAATCTAAGCTGCAGATTCTCTAATAAAATCAACATAAGACTAAAACTAGCTGCCTTGAAAGTTTATCAAATAAAAACCAAAGATTGGCACACGGTACTTATTTGTTAATCTACTTTAAGAAAACAATATTGGGGTCGAATCATTATTATAAGATTGATAGGGTCTAATTTGTTTCAAGGGTGTCATAAACATGAGCTAGGTAGTTCTATCTAGCTTCATACCTAAGAAATCTTGGTTGACTCTTTTTTTCACAGAATAACGTGTTAAAATTAATTTAAAGAGACTTGCACACTGCGGCCAATGGAGAGCTTATTTCAAATAAGGTACAGTTAGATAGGAGGGGGGGAAACCTCTGCAGTTACTTACCTCCTATGTGTAAGAAAACTACCACTGACATGTCCTGAACCATCACATCCTGGGGTCGGACATGACATACCTTCCGTCTTCACTGACTTCCAAGAAAACTGGGAGCCATTCAAATACCCATCCTTTTGCCTTTTAGTAGCTAGAGGGCATCCTGATGCACTACGGTGAGATGCATATTTCCCGGTTATATGACCCTGACCGTCGCAACCAGGAACTGGACATCTGGATAGCAGATAGATGAAATAAACTTTATTGTCTTGCCATCATATACCTGGCAGCCTCTACAACAAAGTCAAAATAAATCTCACATAAAAAAAGAACAACCATGCTTTATGGCTTAAAAGAAAAAGCAAACAACAACAACAACAACCCCCACCAAGAACACCAACAAGAAATGCAACACAAACATAAAAGATGCTAATGGAATTGGGAACATTCCGCTAACAAGCTCTGTGTAAATGTAATGTAATGTCGACACAGTGGGATATGGTAACCGCCAATCTAGCAAACCTTTGTTACTGACCAGGTCTGCACATAACACCAAGACATGTTTGTTTAAGGAACCATGAATTAACCATAAATGGTTCCACAGATTACCAAAGGAAGTTTGGCTTATTTTCCCAAAGTTTAGTCTGATTTCCAGCTCCTCTTCCCTTGTGTGTTTGTAACACGGTGAATGTTGTGGAGTGGGGTGGCCAAACAAACCACTATTAAGGAAGGGCGCTAGTTTCACACAGTGCCAAGCCATAAATTAAATAAACCAAGGTTTGCCAGTCAAGAACAAACCAAGGCTTCTCAATGTGGTTAGTTGGCAGTAAATAGGCTATAGTTAAGTTGCTGGCATAGAATGCTAAGCCATAATTTAATAAACCATCATTTACTAAAGCATGGCTTTGTGTTATGTGCAAAACCAAATTTGTGCCTCCCTGGGTGATAAACAGTGAACGTGCTTGTTAGTGATAAGATCCCGGATTTTTCATGCAGACTTTGCCAACTGCTTTTCTAAAATAGGAAAGTCTTAAATTTGGTACCCAGGAGTTGTGATTAGAACTTAACGTTGTGTGCAGGTTTGGCTCTGCTTTTGTTATGAAACAGACACAAAACAAAACAAAAAAACCCCTTATGTTTCTCATGGTATTTTCAATTGCCCCTTAAAATGGCAGCTTTTAAAAAATTCATGTCTGGTGCAGGGTGTGGGCAATGAACCTAGAGAGCCATACAATATTATAGAAAACCTCAAAGAGCTGGGGAGGCAAATGGTATGCTGTACATATAAAGAAAGTATGTTGGCTATAGGAAGAGAAAGCATCCGTATGCTCTCCTCAAATTTCTCCCATGGCTGTTGGCTATAGGAAGAGAAAGCATCCGTATGCTCTCCTCAAATTTCTCCCATGGCTAGGCGCAGAAAATCTGTGAGTGCCCGAGATTCTAGATTATAGATGGGCAACAGACTCATGTGTGCTTATTCTTGATCAAAAGCATAATGTACCCACCAGCTTCTAGTTCATTTGTTCATTGTCTTCAGTAGAACTATTTGGTCAGATGTTGAATGAATACTATGAAAGTTGCATTTAATTCAAATCTTTCCAGACACATATGTGTGTGTGTTTGTATGCATATATGTGTGTGAATATATATGAGTAGATATATATGTGTATATATATATATATTTGTGTGTGTGTGAATGCATGTATATATGAAGTCGTACAGATTTAAAAACAAGGAACTTGAATGTAGAAGTGTCTTATTGTCATTCAAATATGTATCCAAGAAGAAAACAGGCAGACGAGATAGCTGAGCATATTCATAAGAAGTTGACTAGATTCATGCTTACCTAATTGGCTCTTGATCTTCCTTGTCTTCTTTGCTTTGTACTATCCTGATCCCACTTTTCTTTGCTCGTGGACAACCAGAAAGACTGAATGAAAGAAATCATTTCCAGACTGAACACCTTAATTCTAAAAATAATTCTCTTAAGTGTCCTAGAGAATTAAACTTTCTGCAAACGTTACTTGCAGACGACATCCTTTCTGCATTGACTTTAGCAGTTCTATTCACACCACAAGAGGGAGCCCATGAATCATGATTTCCTCTCACTGCAAAACAAAATTGCCTTCCAGGACCCTTATGGACCAAGACCCTTGGAAGACAAGGACAACTGTGCATTAAATCTCTTGCTAATAGTGTCTCCAGCTATGACACTGATGGGCTTCAGAAGAACATGAGTCGAGAACGTCAAAAAGCTATGTGTAATTTATGGCCAAGGGGGAAGGGAAAGGTAAAACAGAGAGGCAAGTGGTGAATGAATCATTTAAAGAAGACACAAAAACCTTTTCAATTCCCTTTCCCCATGTTATATTATTTATTAACACATGGGGATGCCTTTCTGTTTTCTATAGTGTAATTGGAGGTTGTGATGCATTCCTTCTTTCTTATGAAGAATTCGAAACTTTAGGGCTGGTACTTGATGCAAATTGTATTGATCACAATATCAAGACTAGAATGTGGCTTCTCATTTTTAAGCAGGAGTGGTTTGCAATATGAATGAGGCCCAGGCACTTTGAGGCCTACCATTATAACACATCTTTCTTATACAAAAAGAGTTTGAAATCACGGTATCAATTACAATACATATCATAACATTTCTTATACAAAAAGAGTTTGAAATCACAGTATCAATTACAATACATATCAGGCTAGTTCCCTTTTCAACCATTATGTGTTGCTCGTGCCTGAGTCTATATATGTACAACTTGTATATGTAGTCTGGGTCTTGCAGAATTAACATTCCCTGATTACACGGAGTCCAAATCATGCATGTTGTCAGCACACAGGCCCTGTGCAAACAGGCACAGCTAATGCAAGGAGAGTGGGGAAGGAAAGAGCAGGTTCAACTTCAGCTCCCCTCCACATATTCATTGAAAAATAATGTGACCAAGTCCAGCGAAAAGCCAGAAGTTAGAAAGGGTTAGGAACTGCAGATTATATGAAGCATATGCAGACCTGGTGCCAGAGGTGAGCTAGACCAGGCACTGGTCAAGGACCCACTTGGCTCAGAAGGGTCCCCATTGGTCTTCCCTTGTTCACCACTCTTCCTGCTGGGCCCCCAGATCAGTTTCAGTGCTGCAGTTGTGGCTCTCACCCACCATGTTTAATTAGTCCAAATGCACCAGCCCTATGCCTCTAAATTCTTACAGATCTATTTTATAGGTATAGGGAACCACAGAACTTTATGATGTTTAACATCTAGAATCCCAATGGGACCAGGACTATAGACAAACCCTGTTCTGGTTGTGGTGGGTGAGTGGCGTTCTTTGGTGACACCGTGCCAAGGAACCCGTGAAGTCTGCTGCCAGCCCCATTTATAGAGCTGCTGCAGAAAGGAGCATTTGCATCAAAGCTCCCCCCCCCCTTTGTGTAGGAATACAGTATCATCACATTTGCAAACTTTCTTGTTGCCGCCACCAATGAATGATGTGGACTGGGAATGAAGAAACTTAGAACATAATGGTGTCATGACATATGGTAAGTATATATCTACATATTACACAAGGAAGAGAATCTGACACAGGGATAGAGGTTTTAGCCATAGGCCCATGGTGCATGTCATGTGTACTCCTGACTTTAGTTTATGAGAGGCCTTTTAGTAACTGGGACTTGGAAACTGAATCTCCTTGGTAACCTGATTCTAAAGGTGGGTTTTTTAACAAAATAAATCAGGATTCCTGGAGGCCCAAGTCACCTCCCAGCTGGTCATGTTTGCTTCTTGTAACTTCTCCTAAGCTGCATGCACACAATACATTTAAAGCACCCACCCAGCCCTGCAAGAATGCTGGAAGCTGTAGTTTGTCACTCACAGAACTAGAATTCCCAGCACCTTTAACAAACCACAGTTTACAAACAGCCCTGGTCACTGATACATTATTTTAGAATAGGATTAGCAACAAGGGTTGCGTACACACTGTACATTTAAAGCACATGGCTTCTCCTAAAAAATCGTCTGAACTGTAGTTTGTTAAGGGGGCTGGGAATCGTAGCATAATCCTTTCTACCTGCGAACGTAATCCTTTCTACCTCCCTATGGATATTGGCATGTGCTTAACTTACCAGTAACCAGACACAATTAATGTAAGCACATTTTAAGGCTATTTACATGATATGAATTGGAGCAGCTTGTGTATGGACCAGCTGATGTGGATGTGAATAAATATGGACTAGCTGAAATATCAAGCAATAAGAAAACAATTTCTATAAAGTCGTGGACATTTTAGCATATATGGTAGATTATGTCAAGAACCGCATTAAACCAAAACCTGTAATGTTACAGCAACAAGTGATCTGTCTGCTTCAAATGCTATGTCTAAAATGAAACTTCCTAAGAAGCCATGGCTTGGATCTTGAGACTCTGAGAGCATAAGTCAAATGAAAGGCTCCTCCTGTTGGCAAGAAGCAAAGGTGGGAGATGGTGATTTTCACTGAAGCCCCCTGAAAATCTTGCCCAGAGTTTTGGGGAACACTCTGGAATAATGCGGGAGTGATGCAGGGGGCTGCAGGTGAAAGGAGGAACTGCTGTAATCCTCTTGCTCCATCTCAGTTGTGAATAGTTATGGTTCTGAAATCCCACAATGCTAGAGACTCTCATTGTTTGTCAGTTTATTTTAGGAAGGTGGCTATCATCATCATCATCATCATCATCATTTTTTAAAGCCTTGAAAACTGGTAATAATTCCACTGTAACCATGTGCCCCTTTTACAAATTTGTGATGGTGCTTTTTTTAATTGACATTTAGGTGTGCTTTTTTTGTGAGCTGTCTCGAAGATCCAGTTGAAAATGCAGGTTGAGATATAACTTTTTCAAAAGACAAACAAAAACCAGGAAGTTCACAAAGAAGTATCTGAAGTAATAAGTAGGGAGATAGGCACCTGTAGCAATATTTCTTTTGTGTGAGGCCGAACAGTCACATGCTTGAAACAATCATTCCAATCGCTTTGGGACTTTTGAACCCTATTGTACTGGCACCTTAATTTGTCTGTGCATTTGATGTGGCTGAATTTTGCTGTGGTGTTTGTTTTGAGTCTGTAAATGAATTGTAACTTTTTATTTAATGTTGCCATTACCAGTTTTCAATATAATGAGTTGTTTGTAGCTGAGTATCGATTTGTTTTGAGACTTACTCATTTTTACAATGGTCTTAGTTGTTGGCTGGATCTGTTGTGAATACACACTGAGTGCAGTAACTGAAGATACTTGACAAGCACAGCTCCCCAACGCCCTTTGCTGGTGGGCCTGGTGATTCAAGACCAAGACCAAGTCGACCCATGAAATGGAAATCACTGTGATAAAGAGCTCAACATTTTACATACCTTCGATGTGAAGCATAATTTCCAGTAATATGCCCAGAGCCATCACAACCAGGTGTGGGACACCTGAAAGAAACAAGAGTCATTTGAATAACTTGTTTGGGAGACATAAAAGCCTACATCATCAGAAACCTTGGCATTTGCCCAGTTGGGCTTGCAGTGGAAATTCCATAAAGCCTCTTTCACTGAACATTTGCCGGAGATAAAAAAAAACAAAAACCCTTCCAAAGGCCTATATAATCATGTATGATTTTTCCAGTGGCCAACCAGATGGGAAGCCCACAAGCACAAAATGAGTGCAATAGCACCCTCCTGCTTTTGTGTTGAAAATGCTATTAATCACAAGCATAAATGTGCTTGTTTTTAGGTCACCCAGTGCCAGTTCCAGGTTTGGGGTGGGAGGTGGTGTCTTTTGGACAATATTCTTTCTGTGAGCTCGTCTCCTTGTCTTTGCCATTGTTGCTTTCGTCCATTCACTTGCTTTTCCATGGGCAAATCTGACCACCTACCCGAAGGGACAAGGGTGTGTGTGTAGAGATTTATTACCCCACCTCATTCCTCTGTAAGGGGATGAGGGCAGGCAACAGTAAGGCGGATTAGCAGCAGAGACTCCAGGGTTTAGAGTTGAACTCCCTACTGGTTTGAGTTTCTTGGAAGATGCCTGATCATACCAGACCCTGCAATCCCCTCCCCAGCCATCAGCTTCTGGATATCTTCAGTATCAACAACAAATGACCCAAGTCTCTGAATTTGCAAACCCACAACAGGAAAAGGACAAGAACTGCACTGATGTTAGCATAACAACGGCAACATTACATGCTAGCCGTAATATTTCGCAGGTAATTAATGTACATCATCACAGCCAGGCAATGAATGATGTTGATTTAGCTAGGAAGATTTCTTCACCAGAGGAAAAGTCCTTCTAGCAAGGCAGAAGAAAGCTAGGCAGGACAAAAGCAACAACAAAAAGTATACTGCCCTCTTGTGGGCAAAAGCCAAGATTCATTATTATTATTATTATTTTATTTGCCTAATTACTTAAAAACATTGTCAGACTTACATAATTTATAGAAAGCTCAACTGCTAGTATCTTTAGGAATTCACCATTTTGCAGCCTAGAGAGTTTTACCACCAAAAAAACAAACCAACAAACTCCCAAACAAATCCTAAACAGAAACAAGTCTGAGATCATTCAAATCCTGGCAACTATCTAGTTTAATAATCTCTGGATTTCTAAGTCTACTCTGTTTTTCTGCTCTTCTTAGTAATCACAAATATTAAAGCTTGAAGGCAGCAAGTTCATATAGCTGAGGTTTGATTTTTTATTTTTTCCAGCCTACTGTGGCCCGTCCGTTCTTCGTTCCTCTTCTCTCTCTCTCCCTCCCTCCCTCTCTTTCTCTCTCTCTCTCTTTACATATCCCACCCGTGTCAGGAAACAAAAATAAAGTGGGCAAAGTACCCCTTTGCAAAGCCGCATGCAGCATTTGCTGAGCAATGGAGGCGGGAGAAGAAGTTCACCGCACCCACAAAGTGGCATGACATTATTAGCTCAAGCCGTGTCAGTTGGGGCTTGTGTCAAAAGAAGTTAGGCTCTGCGACCGCTTCTCACTTTCCCTGCCATGTCCTGTCGTAGTGTATAATGCCACTGCGCCATGTAACACGCCATCACAGGGCAAAGCCACCCAGTGGGACAGTGATCTCCCTCACTTTTGGCAGGAAAAGTCCTGTAGGCCTGACTACAGCACGGTTGTCATGGCAATGCCACTGGTGTGACTGCTCTTTGCTTCTCCCCCCCCCGCTCCCGCAACGCATTTTTATTATTTTTTTAAAACTCTCATCTAGCGCACATTTTCAGACTCAATGCATGATTTAATTATGGCTTTCCAGCTCTTTAAGGCTGTGGTTTACCCTCCAGTCAAGAGACTCTGTCTTTCTTTTTACATTAAACACACTTTTCGGAACTGGAAATGTTTCAGTTAGATCTCAGAGAAGTCTCGTATTATTATTTTTTCAAATTCAAGTGGCTGCCGTGCAATTCCATTTTGCAGTGTTCCTATGTTCTGCAGCACTGGATGTAAACTTCTGTGTAATTCAGAATTATCCCAGGGTTTTTGTGTATGTGTGTGTGTGACGTTTTAAAGATCCAAGCTTTCTCTTCACCAGACTAACCAGCAGCATTTTTGCCGAGTGGAACTTCCTTTGCTAACAAGCCGACAAATCTGAGACTGACCTAGAGGGCAACTTTTCATTAAGCAGCAAATCGCTCCCTTCTATAGTATTAAAAAGGAGGTAGGGGGAGGAAGAGATCACATTCATTATCTCAGTTCACGACTCATTTATTAACTTGGTATTAGATTAACTAGATTACATTTCCCCCACAAATTTTATTTTCAGGAGAAAGAATGATAAGATGAGTGATATGTACCCCCATTCATACAGGCACTGCTTCCAACAGCATTCTCCCAGGCTACTGACAGAATGAATTATGTTCTCCTCACCTCACTTTGGGCTGAGTTAAGAGATTGTGACAGTGGGAAAAGAGAGAATAAACCTATGAACTGAGGAAGTGGTCAACAGACAAGTCCTTTCAGAAGCACTTTATGGTAACATATTGAGGATCCAAGTCTGTAAGAATGATCTTGAAAGCACTGCTTGCTACAAAGGCATTTTAAATTGAAAGCCTTTCTAGGATTTTCTTTTCTTTTTTAATTACTCAGAACTATGGAAAACTACTTATAATAATGAACTAATTAAGATGTGCCTGCGTTCACATGAAAACAATTTCTTGCTATTGTTTACTACATTGATGAATTGGTGAAAAATATTAACCGAAAAACCAAGTTAGTGCAAAAAAGGCAATAGGATGAAACTTTTAATAGTATATACCTATATTTTATGCAAATATCCCAGGATTGGCACACTGAAAAGAATACCGGGACTAATTTTTTTGATGTGCACCATCAGTAAACACAGGTAAAATGCTCAGGCACTGGATGGTTAATCCATTTGTGGTAGAACAATTAGAACTGAAATGGGTTACCCACCCATCAGTGCCTTGACATTTATACCCAGAGTCAAAGTGGAGAAAAGACTGGCCCCAAATAACCATCAAACCCAGAAAACAGGCAAACCCTGCAAACATAACCAGGGTGGGAAGCAACTGTTCTCCAAAAGGGCATTTTCAGGTAAGAGAAGATGGAGCTTGAAGGGACTCGCTCTGTAAAAAGACAGTAATAGCCAAAACACATAGCAACTTCTCCTTTGACACACAATCTGCCATTCTTCCTCAAATACTCAAAGGTGGCGTATGATGAACCTAAGACTCAATTTTTGCAGTTTGGAAGCCTAATAGCTCAGATAGTGGGATGAAAAAATGTTACAAGTGCAGATTCACATCATTGTTAGAATAAGCCTCTGGCATGGACAATTGAATTGTCTCAACCCTTTTACTTTGCCTGGATTGCAACTGTGGGGTTTTAGTTTTGTTTTGTTGTGAGCTTGTCCTGCAATAGCTCCACCAGAAGCTGAAATCACCACTAGCCATGCAGCATTCGCTGCAGAGCTGGGCTGAATTATGTCATACCCAAACTGTGATCTAGGCCTGTGGTGGTGGAACCTAGACATGACTTATGCAAAGACAAACAAACTGCAATTCATGTCCCCCCCAAAATACAAGTGGCATTGGAGCTCAAGTAAACAGACTCTCCATAACTAATATGTAATGGCTGAAGATGGAGGGATCTCTGATGAGAGCTCCTGTGGTTCAAACGCAAAGGCTGAGTGCTCGAGAAGGAAGCTGTGGAAGCTTCCCAGCTGGAGGAGGAAGCCGCATCAGCAGGCGAGCAAGGAGGAAGAGGCAATGTTGATATATTATCAACATTTCGATTCACTAGTATTTTAGAGATAGACGCAATATGAAAACAGAACTCACAGCACAATTAAAGTGGCAGTGCGGTGAGTTCTCTATACCTTATCTATGTTTCTAGCCTCAGACATACTAGAAGGGAAAACATAACAAGTGCTACTCAAGCAAACAACACATCCGCCCAGGGCCAGCACAAGACATTTTGGCACCTGAGGCAAACCACAAAATGGCATCCTCCTCCTTGCCAGGGAAGAAGGGGTAAGTGAAGATCTACATCAGGATCTGGTGCCCCTGTGGATCCTGCCGCTTGAGGCATTTGCCTCACCTTGCCTCATATGTGGTTTGGCCCTACATCTTCCTCTCATTCCAATAACACTGTGGGTGATATGGCCATCAAGCTTATCATTGCCTTGCCGTGGCGAAGGGGCTTGAAGAACTCAGAGAAGCTATGAACTACGCCGAGCAGGGCACACAAGATGAACAGGTCATAGTGGAGAGTTTTGACCAAATGTGATCCACCTGGAGGAGGAACCGGCAAGCCACTCCAGTATCCTTGCCAAGAAAACTCCATGGACAAAGACAACAGGCATATAAAAAGGCAAAAGGACCTTCTTAAATAAGTGGAAATTCAGTGTGCCAGCCGATAAGTCATAGGGTGATGTGTACCAAATGTGTACCATGTAACCATACCTTGGCGTAGTGCTTTAGAACCATTGGTAAATCAAGGCAAATACAAAATGCATTGGAGTGGAGATTTTGAGGGGAAAGTCACAAAATGAGCTGGGATTTAGTAGAGGAAGATCACTGCTATTGATCCCATTGAAGACCTTGCACAATTTAGGCAAGAGTACTTTAATCCTGTTAAGGATTAAACACCATTTGGTAAGGTCACATCATGTCTTCTGAACGAAGTGACCAAGACATTTGAAACAGCAACTTTGACTTGATTTTGATCATGCATGTAGGAGACCATGGATGGAAATTATTCTGTAAGGAAAAAGGAAATAAGAAATATCGTCCTATCGCATGGTACTTGAGTGCCTCACATATAAGGATGGGGCTTTTGAAGCTGATCTAGAAGGTATTAGGAAGCCAAGTCACAGCCTTAAGGAGATGTGAGATGATCATATCATCAAAAAGTGGGGAGGATTTTGTTGCAGGGATTCAGGACTGACCCAGAAGAAGGATAATGTCATGGAAA